GAATGTTGGAAACCACGGTTCAAAGACGCTCCCATATTCACCTCAGCTCCCCATCTCATTCACGTAGAGCATTTCTAGGGCCACTTAAGAGGCAAGGGGATATACTATGGCAATCAATGTTTCTAAGAGAATTGAAGACTGCTTTAAAGGATGAATATAATTGTACACCAAATGGTCTTCAAGAAACATAACTCAATGAGGAAACGCTGGTGTATGATCAAAGTTGGCCGGAGGGGTGGGGCAGGCGTTTTGATAGAATGAGCTATATCGCTTTCACAGTAACATGCAATGTGAATTATTTTTCTCCAATATATTTTTCTGTAGAAAGAGTCTCATCCGCTCATGGACAGTTGCTTGGATGTCCTCATTCGTCTAATCACAGTGACCGAATCTGGACCAGTGACCAGTCCTCAAAACCGACCTGATATACCTGCCCTGGAGGAGACCCAGATTGAAACGACACCAGAACTACGTATGCATCACACTCTGTCCGCACCGGAGCTACTTACGATGCTGCTCCGTCTCAGATTGAACGGAATCTGGGGTTTGGTCAATTTCTTGCATGGTGCCTCTGCGGTCACTTGCTCCGAACTTTTCGATCGTTTAGTCTCCGATGGAGTCTGGCTTGACCTACTTCGACCGTTAGCCACAAACACTCATAATTCGACCGCTTGGACCAATCCTCAAGTAAACCACACACCAACCACCCGTCGATGTTCAACCGGTTCCGTCAATCGGCTGGAATCCAAGACAAACAAACTAAGAACTCGGAGTATGATTCTACCTGAGTGCGTTTGAGCTGACATTTTTGAGACTGGTTATCTGTTGATAGTTGTTTAGAAAAACACATCAGGTTGATAATAAAGTAGTCTAGGGAACTTCATTGTGTATTTGTTACATGTCACATATTTTATTGGTATACATTTACCGGATAAGAGCAGCGGGTTGAACGGAACGATTTTGTCTGCCACATTGTAGTTGCCGTTTTGGTGTTGGTAGGCTCACCGAGGTGGAAGTGTTGTTTGCAAATGTTTCGTAACCCTATCATTATCAGTTCGTTGTCTGGCCTGTAGATGTTAGTTCCACATGTCCTTATATTTTATTGTTCAATGAATAAAAATCACACTTGAACGTGGGCGTCCGCGCAGCATTCGAACTATTCGAAGAACATTCCCCCCCCCGCCTCTCTTCACCTGTGTGTGGAACGCAACACGAAGCACGTGTTCCCTGTTCAAAATAATAATATCAGTGATAATAATAACTCAGGCGTAAAACGAAACCAAATCAGGCTTAGTATACTCTCTCTTGCAAACCCACACAAAAATGCTGTCTATGTACTGTGTGCGTATACTTATATCTTGTTCCATGAAATTCAGTTCTATTTTATATGTTTTTCGCTGTTACTGGTTCTTCAGCCTCCCGCCTTCTCAAACTTGCACTGTATCGGATTGTATTCTGTGTCAGAATTCTAGTTCTGATCTCATTGAGTGTTCTTTTTTTCTTCATCGTCACATGACCGACTGCAATCAACAAGTATCCATTGCCAAACATGTCTATGTCTGTACCTTAGCATATTTTGAGTCTACTAAAATGCGCCGAATAAGCGATCGTAGGCAATCAGCAGCACCGTTCGATGACGCAGTGGGATTTTCTTTGGCTAGGACTCTCTGTCTTAAAATACCGCCCAAATTGCTTTACCGCACTGCAACGTGGTGATCNGTGGTGATCGCGATTCGCCTCTTTATAGAGCCACTGTTTTACGCCACATTACATGCCCGGTTCTTAGGAAATAACCCTGCTAGATTTCACTCTGTACTTGAATATACAGACTAGGACAACTTTTCTGGTTGAAATGCCGTTAGCCCACCTTACACTCTGCATTGGTCGACTGAGTAGTTGAACAGCTGCAGAAGGTGCCTGGGACATCACTCCATATCCGATTCCGGTTATGCCCCGATTGATAGCACCTGTGGATTCAATTTCTCCTGCAACAAGTGATAGGTATGAAAAATTAAGTGAGTAACCGAAGAATGGCAACTTGGGTCGTTGCACAACAGTTGAAATTTGGTGAGTGCTGTGTCAACTGAAACCAGACGAATGCCTATTATCGTGCACTTCACTCGACTTGTTGTATGTACACTAAGCGTATTTCGTCCCACTGCATAAATACCGAGTATAAGTATCCTGCTTTCTCGTTTATTTTCATTTCTTTCTCTTCGCTTATGCACTCCCATTTCAGGTCCGCATCCATTCGTGATCCCATGTTCTTCCCACCACTTTCGCTGACACCACCAGACGAACGGTTGAAACCGATTAGTCCACCAAGTCTTCCATCGAAACGGGCCGGATCGGAGAAACCAGTTTCACCCACAGTTCCCGAGGAAGGCATGACTTCACCTAATCACCAAGTGGACGCACATGTTCAAACTATGTTGCTTCACAAAACGCTAATGTTCTTGCATAATCTGCTGCGCCACGAAAAGGTGAGGTATGCCCATCCGGCCCGACCGGTAGGAAGCTGATCTAAGTTCTCCTTTATCTGAACTCTGTTGTGTTCCGATTCTTGTGCCTCGACTGACTCTTGAAGGTAATCAACCGTCATAATTCTCATGCTGTACGCTCACGGAATTGTTTTGTTCGAGCACTTAAGTCGTTTATCAGGCATGTAGGACTGCAAGGAACGCTTTGTTATTTTTGGGAATGTACGCGTTCAACCTACGGTGCTTCGGATCTCTGTTTCGAACGTCGAGTTTGCACACCAGGCTGACTCGAAACTATTCGTCGTCACCCTTTGTGATGATCAGTTACAGTTAGTCAAAAGCTTCAATATCCTTCAGAGGTGGTGTTCTGGACGAGAACCCCTCACGAATAACGGAACTAAAGGTATCTTTCACCACTCTGCGAAATCTTTGACACAGCCATGACTTTACAACTGTTGGACTATTTTTTCCCCTTCTATGGTGCTCATTGACTTCCTATTTTCGACTACCGCTGTTTTGAAAAATTCACGTTTCTAGTGAGCACACCAACTGAGTGATGATGAGGTTCGTTGTTTACTGTGGGGTGCAAATAGTGGCTCTCTGATTGGGACCGTTACTTTATACCAGCATAAGGTTGAGAAAAGCCGTGCGACGGGCAGTCGTTGGTTTTCCTGATGATATGTAAGTGTTAGCTCTGATATTGGCTTCAGTTGTGAATCCCGCTCAAGAAATTAGCAATGACTGTTTTTGTTGGTAGGAGATGCTGACAGAAAAGGCTCATCATAGAACTGTAAGACGCGAAGACTCTACGAACAGCCTGTCAAATTTCCTCATAAAAAACAAACACGTTAATGGCAAAAACAAAAGTGCATTGCTATTCCTATTGAAATTTTCTCCTTTTGTTTGGCATTTTTTTCCATCTGAATCGTACATGTTCCCAAAACCAGTTTTTTTACGGGTAATTTTGAAACACTGATTTCGTGTGAATGATTGTCCGATACACGACATCGATCGTTTGATTGTTTCATCTCTCCGGTAGGTTGTTAAACAAACCTAATGCCATTGCCGATTGTATAAGTTCATCATAGGTACTGAGGCTTTTGGAGGCCACTGTCTACTCAGAAATTCGTGTAGGCTGTGGCATTCATTCACAGCACAGATCAATTACAATTGTGCTCACTAAACACACCTGATAATTCACATGACGGGTCAAACAGCTCTACGCCGCTCTGAATGCGTTCCAGTTTTGTAAAACATTAATATTTATTGATTAACCGAATTGTGTTAGCTGTCGACGGTGTAGCTCAAGGATCGGTGTTGCAGCTCCTCATCCCAATGTTCACAGTTCGAGTCTCGACAGGGACGCAAGAATGGTACGCGATGCCAATAAGTCTCAACAAGAATATAATATGTATCCAGTGGTCTTTGCTGACTGTCCTAGAAAATGGTATTGATCCTAATCTTACTGTTCTCGCCTTTCGTTCCTCTTCCCTGGAAAAAAGATTGAACATCATTTTCGGTGTAGAAAGTCAAATAGAATCGCTGTGCGTGGAAAACCGGACACCCCCATTTATTCATCGTATTGCTATCGTCTCTGAAAATTTTGCATACAATTCGTTCTTAATGCGATAGTTAACATCCCTTATTATTCCCTGTACTTTCGTCATTTTAGCCAATCGGAACAACACATATTTGTTGGGATAAAGTTTATAGTCCAAATGTTCTGTTCAACGTGTTTATTGATGCAACTCGATTTGTGTACCCCTCCCCCGTTTCCTCCTTCGTTCAGGTGATTGATATGATTGTCAAAGAGCATTGGTGGAATATCACCCAGCTACTGGTTTCGGTGCTCGAGGGCAACTATCCGCAACCAGTGAAAGAGCAGGTCAGTTCCCGGATCTAATATGCATGTGAAAAATTCACTTCCCTACATTAATTACTAAGCCCGGTTTATAAGACTTCAACTCCCGGTTGTGGCCTCAAGAAGGTCAAGTATGCATCAACGGCCATAATATGGTAAGTTGCTCAGCAGATGGGCTTAATCAGGTCGAAGGTAACAGCGACATAATTTTTTGACTAGACAGCACACACGTCCTAAGGTACTTACTCCTTAGTGAGCACATGGGATCTACTGTCTGATTCAACAGTCGTACAGGAACTCGATCAAACTGGCACAACTGCATGGATTCCCTGGCTGAATCTACGCCAGTCGTATAACGAATGAGTTTTTTGAGTTCCGTGGGCAACCCCATGTCCCACAAAAGTACTTTGCAGTTTGCATCGAGCTATGCGAATTTCTGTGGTGATCTTTGAGAATGACGACTCTGGTACCGAACTCTCACGAAATTTCATGATGCTTTCAGTAGCCGGCTTATTCCCCATCCAGGTAGCCAGTCTTTAGCGAAAGTGGGAAAACGTGGAATGATTGTGACTGGGCCTGAACAAATCATTATCGTACGGCTAAATGCAATCAAGCGAACTTCACTGATCGCTTCCGAACTTCCAACGCATGCAAGGTTAGGGGTAAAATTTAAGGAAGTCAGGGATTGGACCTATTTTCAGGGAGGGGGAAGAAGGTGAACCTCTATGGTTAATACAGTACTCACGCAAACTCTGCATTCTGGCCTGATAAGTAATGAAAACAAGAACACCACTGCTGTCCTTTGGCTGCCATATCTTTCAATGACTCCAAACAGCCAGTTAGGGAATCTTTCGGACCCCAACCTGGAAGGTGCGAGACACCTACTCTATCTAATGGCTCTGTGCATTTCTTCATTTCTCTCCTACTCCTCTGTTGACCTCCACGTAGTTTCTTCAACCCGGATTAGCACGGTGCCGTAGACGAGAGCTGAGCATACGCAATACGTGCCCCAGCTAGTGAAGCCTACCAATCTGAATTCGCTGTTCTAGCAGGTTTATTCCTGATAGACTCCCTAACACACGACGGCTTACCTGCACATTACCAACCCGTTCGCTCCATCCCACGTGGGCTTAACTACTTAAACACCGATAATCGAAAACTTCTAGGCGATGGATATCTTTTACTTGTAAATTCAAGGTCTCACAAACATGAAGCAGAACTGAACGAATGCTAGCACAATATACACTACCTTTCAACTTTAATGAAACGTCGCGTCCACGCCCAAGGGTTTTCAGTCCTGCGTATGCTGCTCGAGTTTTGGAAATGCGGGCGGTTAGTTCCTTTGCTGCGCTATCGTTGTTGGTCACGGAACAACTAAGTAAAAGGTAGTCGATGGACAGGCATACACAATACTTGAAAAGCCACCGGAAGCGGTTACTTCTGTTAGAGAGTGACTATCGACACCCAACACACGGCGACGGATCTTGTCATTGGTCACCCTATGTTCCCACTAGGCACGAGCAATGTTTCGGAGACATCGGGGGTCGAATGCAGTAAGTCTGTTAGCATCATCCGCTCGGCGATGCCAGCTCTCGCAACCGTATAGCAGAACACTACGAACCGCGGCGAACTACCCCTTCCATTACGGGACAATAGGAAGTCATGGCTGCGCGGACATGATAAAGAAATAACTTTTGGTGTTGCTTCCATTCCGGACACTGATAGATTCCTGGAGACGCACTGCACATAAATGACCGTTGACGGGGTCCAATCGATGAGAGATGACTCAGCTCTGTTACTGAGTGCCATACTTGCCCTCTTGCAGACCTACTGAACGGGGTTCGCCGTCACCTGATCTGTAAAGCACGCATCTCGAGGACAGATCTGGAGCGCGCACAAGTGGCTTATACTAGTAGGATCCTTATTTTGAGTGTCCGACACGTAGCAAATATCGATTCCTGAGGGTGACATTGTACGCTCCAGACAAGCTTGTTGACCTACCTGCATCAGAGTACTCACGTTGAATGCCCGACTTACTTCGGTGAAAGACAATGTGTGAACAACAATAAGCCTTAAACTGCAATCAGTACCGGTCTAAGTTTGTTGGTGCAATGATAGCAATCACACCTTCGAAAGAAGCTCAACTTATAATCTCTTTTACGAGAAAATATGTTTGACCGAATAAACTTCCTATTGTGTACAAAGGTAAGGATTAAATAAGGAACAATTTGTACCCCCCCCCCCTTTCTC